AGTAGATTCCATTTAGACAACTGTAAAACATCATGGGCGATTTCAAAAAGTTAATAAAGAAAATTCGCGCATTATGGATAAAAAACCAGGGTGGAATAAGCTGAGGACCTACCAGGGAACTCCCCAGAATTCTACTAGAGCGGGATTCGCGGAATAAGTGCATGACATTTCTGTCACATTTAAAACTGTATTTTAATTGATTAAAGATTTAAAATGGTTCCTGGGGCATCTCAATTCCCAAGATTTAAAATGGAGCACCTGCTCCTAAATCCCTCTTACAAGTTAAGGGAGACCTTGATGCAGATCTCCCTAGTGGGATGCTTCCCTTAGCGCTCCTACATTGGCGGATCCAGCTAATTGGCAACATTGTCTTTTCTCCATTTAAACCTATGGAAATGTATCGATTCTTGGAGGGGCCAGGTGCCCCGACAAGAATCGATTATTTAGCATAGGTTTAAATGAAGGAAATCCGGTGTTGCCAAATCGCTGAATCCGCCTCTGCTTAGAGGAGTCCGCAAAGCGTTTCCCAGGGGTTGGGCTACATAGTATCCTGGGGGCGTACCCCTTTATTATCAGATAAATGAGTCATAGTTTTTAATTTGTTCTCAATTTATTTAAGTTTCCCTACAATCTCAGCTTCTGGACCCTTCTGGGTAAAGTACTACTCCTACGAAAAATTCCTTGTTACGGCCACGGATTCGTATTCTACGACTTGAGCAAATATAAATTGTTGGCTCCAATAGATCGAAATGAAATTCAAAACTTCAGTTGCGAATACGGTAACCTATTCATTTTCATGTGCGAGTAGCGATGAATGTAAGGAGCACGAATATAATTATTTTTCTTCTCCTTTGCAAAATACGTCTTCGGCGAAATATGTCAGAGGGTCAATTGAAAAATTAATCAATTGGGTCAGTGAAGCTACCGCTCAAGAGAGGATCCTGACGAACATTAGAGCTACATGCGACCTACAAAATGCAAATTTCAAGACAGGAAAAATATCGGAAAACGCGAGCACTTGGGGACGGGGGGATCTGCGCACACTTTCGGAATGTTAAGGCTCAGGATGGACCTGAAAAATTTCTGTAATTTCCGAAAAAAGGAAGGAGAAAGAAAAGGGTTACCCCAGTAAAAGTAAGTTCAAGACGTCACTTCTTCTGATGGATCCGTTACCATCCAGAAAAATGTTTCTACATTTGATCAAATTTCGAGGAAGAGATTGTGACATTTACATTCTTACATTGGGTAATAATCGCCCGCTATCAGGCTGGAGAATAAGAACGGGAAAGGAGAATTATTGATTATTTTATAATTGGCATGCTGCAACCGACATAATCCAAATGCTTCCATTTGATTCTTTCAAAATAACAGAACAGACTCTTTCAGCAACGTTATTTATTTTCTGCTAAAATTTATTTGAATTCTAATTAGTCTAATCTGAATTTTAAGTAAAAATTAAACGGATATGTAACCATCCAAGCGAAAAAGAATCCTCGGGCACTTTGAAAAATTTATTTAATAACGTCATCCACCGCGGTAGTGACACCCTTGGTTTCTGCCACCTTGCTTTCATCCGAGCTACACTTGAGTAACCAGAGCAAATGTGTGTTTCCCTGACTGATGAAAGCAATGTAGAAGAAACCAAGGGTGTAACTACCGCGATGGATGACGTCATAAATCGAATTTTTCAAAACGCGATACCTCGGTTAGGTAGTAAGTTGCTATTTGGACGGATCTTACATTATGCAGCTAATCTACTAATAAAATCAAGCATCAAAAGACGATTCTGATTGTGAGACCAGCGCAATTGACCCACTGTGTGAGATCATTGCGGGCGGAAGGCCGGAAGGTCTGACACCGAGAAATTACGAATATTCATCGATTGAGGCGCGCGCCGTGATGTACGCGCAATGCGTGAAGTATTCCTGCAGTCTTGCAGGCGCTAATAATGGCGGATGGTCACGGGGGATGGTTTCTCAAAGGAACACAGTTTTAAGGCACTCGAAACGAGTCACTGCCTCATAATTTAAGGTCCGACTTTATATACTTGCACTAATGCAAACTTAAACAAATAATTATTAAATATCTTTCCTGCAGATAAATTAATCAAAAATAAACTTCACAAAAAACGTTGTGAAGAAATTTTGGGGATTGTTTTACAAGAAGCTGGGATCAGCTGTCGCAAAACGATTATTCTAGTTCTGGGAGCAGCTACAAATAAACCTCTGGCGGTTCAAAACCTACTTTTCTAGTGTTTTTTTTTTTTTTTAATGTTATATCCTTGTTTTTTCCCCAATATTTTCATTTTGCCGGGTTTATATTTTTGGGCCATATCGTTAGTGCATTTCCCTTAAGGTGGTGTAAAGGAGATATCAAGTGAAGGGGGTTTCAATAAGGATCATCTGGAAATTATTTACAGCCTAAAATTCAAGTTAGGCATTGATGCATTATAACAGCGATAGACATAGGTTCATTAAGCACGATAAGCTGAATAGCAGGATTCAACTGCAGATTTTCCAAGCTCTAAAAATGCATTCCGTTACTATTATGGATTTGAATACTTTCAAAAAGCCAACGATGAGAATATGAGGCAACGGTACATCCAAAACTTCCGCGGATCATTTCTAATGCGAGAATGCTTTACATCTTCCTCTTAAAAACTGTTCAGGCAAATAACAACGAAATAAATTAGAGTGCACGCTCGGGTCGTGGTAAAAAAAAAATAAGCTCAAGTACGAATCGGGCTCCAGACAAATATTTCAAACTTAATTGATTGAAATGCTTGTTAAAATGATTACTGTAACTGCAACTTTCTGTAGATTAGCATTGTCACGTCTCATCTCCGGACATAGCTTAAAACTGAGTATTTATATGTAGAAGTATGACACTTTTATCAGGGTTGCCACAGAGTTTGGAAAATTGAATTCCCTGACTTTCCCCTGATTTTTCTGAAATTCCCTGACAATGGAACAGATGCCAGATTGTTAACAACACATAAGTATGTAGTTAGAGATGGTTTTCAGGCAAATTTGGTTGTTCGAAACGTTAAACCCATTCGAGAAAGCAAATAAAGGTGACTTGACGATTTTTCTCCGACAATTGCGTCATTTTTCCTGGCCATTTCCAGGAATTCCCTGACTTTTTAAAATTTCCGGACATTTCCCCGTATTCCCTGACTGAGGCGAGTGTGGCAACCCTGTTTCATACAACTTTCTTACAACTAGGAATACGGCTAAATAGTCATAGTGGGTGCCTGGGTACAGTGCCTTGAGGTGAATTGTGTAAGGCCTTGAAGTGAATTGGACTGCATTTTGCAATTTGGACTTATAAATTCCGGCCCGGTTTAAAAACAACGTATGTGCCATTAGTTTCCCTATGCACATAAGTGTTTTTTTTCAGATGAGCCAGAATTTAGAGGTCCAAATAGCAAAATGTAGGGGAGAACCGGGTAAAGAGAGACCGGGATAATGGGAGACCATGGGCGTAGCTAGGGGGGTCCTTGGGGGGGCTGCCCCCCCCCAGAAAAATGGGATCCTCCATTCCTCACCCCCCCCCCTCTCTTCACCACGAGAAGTGGTCCCATGGCCCTCCCCAGAGAAATTTCCTAGCTACGCCCCTGTACTAACTAATGTACAAACTAATGAAATTTTAACTATCTCATCTACCTCCCCCACACATCCAACTAGGTACCTAAGTACAATGTTCTAGATAAGTATAACCTGGAGACAAGTGTCACAATGCCAGCTAAGCAGGCAAATATTCCTCTAACATCAGAATAGATCAGGAAAAGTCCACTTTGATACCTGGTACCTACCCTGAAACCGCTTCACCGGTCAATTTTATCATAATTTCAAAGCCAAAATGTACTCTTAAGCAATTTTTTATGTTTAATTTCATTGTATACTGTTAAAACCATATTTAAGGTCTATTTTTGCGGTTTTTTGTCCCTCTAATAAAAATTTGAAATTTCACTTTTTGAATTGAATTTGTGAACTTCCCGCAGTCCAATTTCAAAACCCCGTAACTCAGTCACATTTTGTCCGATTGACCTGAAATTTGAAATGGTAATCAAACTCTATTAGTAGAACACTCTCATTGCCCTGCTATATTTTTCCTGTGCAATATGAGAGGCAATCCAGACCACGTCTCTCTTTACTCCGTAATGGTATAGAGAGACATGAAAAATGGGAAAAAAGAAAAAAATTAAAAAAAATACTTTCTATTGCAGGGATAGAGATGAAACTTTGGGTAATAAGTTCTCATGAGGTAACTAATGTACAATGTACCCTGATTTCTTAATTTTTAATCTCAAACAGGGAGCTCAGAAATAGGAAGGTAGGTCTCTCTTTACCCTGTTGGTCTCTCATTATACCCAGTTCTCCCCTAGTCCCATTGTGTAAGGCCTTGAGGTGAATCCTTTAAGGCCTCGAAATGGTTCCGCTGAACCCGGGTTCCCGGGAACCCGAGTTGTGGTCATCGCGACTTGCCTCTCGCGGTCGAGACGTCCAACGGCGACCGCCGCTCGTGCAGCTCCGGCGAGGATCCCATCAGCAGACCCGCCCGGACCTCCTGGCGCTGAGCCCCGGTAGACGGTGCCCCCGAAACCCCCGGGCTTCTACGCCACCGCCACCACCACCACACGCATGGCTACCAGAGGCCCTAGTTACACGGACAAAATCGCCAACGGATCCCCGTCCGAGTGGAGCTCATCAATGATCATCGATGAGTATCGATGAACTTTGATGACTTCCACTTGGACGGGGATCTGCTCGCTGTTCGTCCTCGTAACGAGGGCCTTGGAGTCGAAGGTGCGTTTACCCGGTTCCTCCGACTGTCAGACGGAGGGTACGTCGAACAGCCCCCCGGGCGCTCTGTCGGGTGACAAAGCGCCTGGCGGATTGCTTGGCGGACCATCCGCCCGATAGTCGGAGGAACCGGGTAAACGCACTTTCGGCTCAGGCCCACCTGAGGCCCTCGTTACGGGGACAAACAGCGAGCAGATGCCCATCCAAGTGGAAGTCATCAATGCTCATCGATGTGCATCGATGAACGTTGATGATTTTCACTTGGATGGGGATCTGTTCGCTGTTTGTCCCTATAACGAGAGCCTTGGAGTCGAAGGTGCGTCTACGCAGTTTGTCAGATCAACAGATGGAGGGTTTACGTCAAACAGCCCCCCGGGCCCTCTGTCCGAGGACAAAGCGCCCGACGGACTGCTTGGCGGACCATCCGTCCGATGATCGGATGAACCGTGGAGACGCACCTTCGGCTCGGTTCCCACAAGCAGTAACATGCAACATGCACCATGCAACATACATACAACATGCACCATACAACATGCACCATACAACATGCAACATACAACATGAAACATGCGAGAAAAAGAAGACAAATAAGAAAAAGAGAAAAAGGAGAGAGAAAAAGAAGAAAAGAAAAGAGAAGAAAGCGAAGAAAGAGAAGGAAGCGAAGAAAGAGAAGAAAGAAAAGAAAGAGAAGAAAGAAAAGGAAGAAAAGAAAAATGAAGAAAAAGAAAAAATAGAAGGAAAATGAGGAAAAGGAGAAAAAAGAAGAAAGAGAAGAGAGAGAGAAGAAAGAGAAGAAAAATGAGGAAAGAGAGAAAATATGGGAAAAATTAGAAAAGAGAGAAAAAGAATAAAGAGAGGAAAAATGAAGAAAAAGAAAAAATAGAAGAAAAATGAGGAAAAAGAAAAAAACAGAAGAAAAGAAAAAATAGAAGAAAAGAAAAAGTAGAAGAAAAATGAGGAAGGAAAAAAAATAAAAAAGAAGTAGGTAAAATAGAAAAATAGAAAACAGAAGAAAAAGAAGAAAAATGAGGAAAAAGGAGGAGAACAGAGAAAAGAGAAGAACAAGAGGAGCGGTTGAGATGGCAAAGTTCAAGGGTTCGAGAAAAAAATCACGATGGAAAGGGAGTGGGAAGCAAAGGATCAGCACGAGAAGAAAATAGGTGCGTGAAAAACGACCAACATCCCTACAAATCTCTCGAGGATTGTGCGCTAACTGAAGATACCTGACCTGAGATTAATCCGTAGAGGCGAATTTTTAGAGCCTTCACTCCTACAGTCAAAAATCAAGGCAAACGAGAGGGAAAATAAGATCCCAAACTTTCGAAATAGGCAGAAAATCCTGTGGAAAGCGAAATAGAAAAACGTGGGAAGCTGGTGGGCGATTGAAAACGCGAAATCTTGGAAGATTCAGCATCTTGCAAGCACATTTGAGGCATCTAACAGTGACCATCGTTCCGCATCATTTTGTTGAGAGACAACGTTGCAACTCTCCGAGTGTGAAATAACCTAGACGGGAAGTTGTGATTCCGCACGTTAAATTTGCAATTTCTTGACACCATTACCAGAAACGATATAAGACACTTCGAAAGCCGTGCCAGACAACACCTCCCCCCCCCCCCCCCCCCCCTTAAAAAAAATCTAAAAGACGATCCAACAAAAAATGCACTCACGATCAGATGTACTGT